TCTACAATGCATTTTTTTTTTTTTTTTTTTTTTTAATAACATTTTTAAATGTTCTGGTAATGTATTTTTTGTTAGATTTTCAAGTTTCTTCTCACATGAAGCCATATTCACCAGTGTAGCTGAGGGACAGGAATAATAAAATCTTTGAGTCAAATAGCTTGTCATTGCAGTTCATGCTGCAGAAAAGACATACAGTATATGAACATTTGTCAAAGGTTTATTTATTCAAGCAAATAGACCCTTTCAAAACTAAACCACCAGAAGGGCATCAAAAAATAAATAAATCAAACTTCCAGAACCATTTCAAATGTGAAACCAGCTTTGTGTTTTTACTAATAATGTGCCTGTGTGCTTTACAGAAAAATCACTTCACACAGTTAGGAAGGAGTTTTATTCATTTAATTTATTAAGATGCTACATAGTTCAACCAGGTTGGGTTGATTCTTTTATTTTTTTACACCAGACTACTTAACTAGGAATATTAATCATCACCTCAGATAGACTTATTTATTTATATACAAACAAAACAGCTTCTTGACTGCTTACATTGATCACGGTGATGGCCTGAGAATCCCGCCACGTCTGTGTAGAACAAGTTCAGAACCAGGGCTGAATTGATCCGTGCTTACACATCTTTTTTGACCTGACACACCAAAGTAGTCAAATTTACTTCATCAGAGGCAAAGATCCTGTGTTTTACAGTGTGATCTTTGTCCGAAATGCTTGGATACGCCAAGAACGACCAATGATACCCCAATTTTAGAACGTAGCTCCAATCTGCTCTGCCCTCCACCTAAACAGCAAGTCATCCTCAACCCAAAAACTCCACAGATACAGTAGAAACACACACAGGTTTATTTTAACTTTCCGTCCCTTATACAGGAAAAGATAGAACGTGTTATTTTCAGCAAATGTGAAAAGCTGAAGGTTTTTCTCAACAGTTAAACTCTTGTTTGCATACAGCAGGATGGAAATATCACAGACTGCTTGTTTTTGTTTTGTTTTTAAAGAATGCAAAGCAGAAAACCACTCTATTCCCCTCCTTATGCAACATTTGGAGATTAAATGATTTGACAAAACGTGTATTTTTTTATTTTTGGATGATCTGGGGGAAAAAAAAGTACAGTGTCAGAATCATGTGGTCCCCTCAAATTATAGCTACTCGTTATACATTTCCTGCTCTTACTTCAGAGAGAGAGAGAGAGGAAAAAAACACTGCTGCTGGAAGATCTCAGACACTCTTAGGCTCAGGTGTAATAAAATGTTTACTATCCAAACTCAGAGATAATTTGACAGTAATCAGCAACAACAAAAAACTGAACACAATCAGTGGAGAGCGAGCGAAGGCAGCCGAACACATTCAGATGATTTCTCACACACATTTGACACAAATAAAACGAAGAGTTGACAAATGCATGGGAAGCTGCACCAAAACTAACTGGTTCGGACGCTGTATCAGGATCTTGATGATGATGCGAGGGAAATGGAGCCATCTTTCCACTGCGTATGGTCATGTACTGTAAATGCATCTCAGCATAGAAAAAACTTTCCCCAACAAGTCAACAAAGCAAAACAGTCCTCTGAATTTACATCAGATTATCTACCGGTAACCCTCGCATCTGATCACTGCAGTCATTCTTACAAAAATAATGATAATAATATTAATAATAATAATAATAAAACCACAACAAAACACAAACAAAATAATGAAAATATAACAATGTAGTTGTGCAAACCTACAGTCAAATGACATTTTCACCATTAGAAAAGCAATTAAATTTGATTCAAAAGTCCCGTTGCAACACTCGTGAACGCATGCAAGCATCCCCCCTCTGACAAGAAGGGATGTGGTGAGAACTGAGTGACAGAGGGAAGGTAGGGTAAACAAAAAAAAAAGAAAAGGGGTGGGGGCACAAGAAAAGAAAACATCCTGTGTTAGTGTTTTATACACTGATCCATGTTTCACAATCAAAGCCAGGATTTTTTTAAGGCCTTTGACTGGAGAAGACAGTGCGATAGCCTGACTGCTTGGATCATCTCTGTGGTAAATCCCATCCTTAAAGAGGGTTTCGCTGAAAGGAACATCAGATTTTATACAGTGGAACCATTACATATTTGTGTACATTGGCTCTGGCGTGCGTCATTTAGAAAAAGAAACAGCTATACATTAAAATAACATTCGCACAGTTGCAAACCAACTGCACCTCATCTGTGTTAGAAAATCCTTTAATCAGTATCACTAGAGTTGAATCATGTTTACAATGCCCCTTAAATCACCCAAAAAAAATCATTTGTGTACAGAAAACTTTGGGGAACAAAAGGCCAGAATGATTATGTGATGAATACGCAGAGGCAAGACCGTAACAGTTTTTTTTTCTTTTTTTGTTGCTGTTGTTCATAAGACGGTGAGTCATTTTATTCCACTTTTCTTTCATAAATTACCATTTTAATTATTCTTTTTACATAAATGGGACTGAATCAAAACTAGTACCACGCCCCCCTCCCAACACACACCCAGCAGGTATGGCATTTTGATGGAAAAAAAATCCCACATCCTGTGTTTGTTTTCTTCCACCAAAAACATGCTGCAGCCGACCGCACCGGAGCTCTACAAGACCAACTTGCCCACCACGACGCCAACAAGAAAGAAGAGCACGATGAGGGCCACTGTGCGGGCGCTCAACCCTTCCTCTTTCTTCATGGCGACTGAGGCATGCTGGGATGACATGATGTTACTCTTCCTCATCCTCAGACCATCATCCTCCTGTCAAACAAAAACAAAGGCAGGAGTAAGCAGAGCAAAAAAAAAAAAGTGTGGGAAGAGGATGAAGGAATAAAAGACAAGTAAAAATAAAACTGCTATGAGAAACAAAATTTCATCACAAGAGGTTAAAAATGGCTAGTTTGTCAATCAATTTGATAGAAAAGTATTTATTTATTAGCTCAAAGAAATTGGATCTGTTTAAATCTTCATCTGCCCAAATCCCCAGAGGAACGCAGAAGGCGCCAGGCTTGAACACACTTCATTTCCCAGCAGCGGGCGGGGAGCTCTGTTAGTTTAATCTCAGCCGCAGGAGCAGCCAACAACCGTTCTGCCTCTGGCAAGAACCGAACGGGGAGGAGGTGGTGATGTTTAAGGGGAGGTCGACTCTTTCTCGGCTGCCAGAGGAGCCTGAGCGTGACTCGTTACCAACCAAACTTTCACATATCCAAWTTTTAAACCGTACGTCATTGATCGTTCTGATTATATTCTTCGGTTCAAATTACTCAACGCAGACCTCAGTTAGAAGCAGCTGTCGAAGGGTGGATGGCTCGGCCTTTTGTGACTGAAAACCATATATTAAATTGATTGATGGTAAATATCAATCAGTAGAAAAGATAAAAATAAAAATTATTTAATTTCACTATAAATGCATTTGGCCATCATTAACTGTCAATGTTTCATTCAAAACTGTCTTGATGAAAGAGTTGRTGTCAAAAAGCCTGGCTGAGGTATGCCAAATTACATAAGACAAGGACTAAACTAGTAGTTATAGATTGGTAGGACCTGAAAACAGTTGAGTCTGTGTGGAGTTTTCTTAATGATAACTGATGTGTGCACCTCACCACCTCTAACTACTAGTCAGTTTGTCAGAGAAATAAAGCAAAACAAGACAGACACAATGATAGTAATAATAATGCATTAGTCTAAAGCGTTTTTCTAGACACTCAAGACGCATATTTTCATACACACATTCAAACACTGATGATGATGATGGTAAGCTACATTGTAGCCACAGCTGCCCTGGGGCGCACTGAAAAACGAAGCCATTCAAGTCATCTTACTCACTCTAATTTGTTTGTTTTCTTCCCGTAGCCTCTGAGCCTCCATCTGCAGCCTCTTGCACTCCTCCATGATCTTTTTTACTTCGCCGTCATCCAGGGTGGAGCTCAGGGACTTTGAAGAAAGCGTGGAGGACTCCGACTTCAGCAAGTTGGCTGACATCTTGTTAGACTCCATGTCATGCTGTAAACGGTTTACAAGAGGACAAGCTTTAATGTGATGAGTGGACTTTTTTCCCCATTTATTCATTTTTATTTGTAACAATTCACAAAAAAAACATGCTATCAAAATAAAATAAAAACAAAAATGAAAGGCAGCAGCAGAAGAATAAATCTTATATCTGCCCCCTTTTTATACCCAAAATATGTTCAAAATAAAAGTAAATTACAACAAAAATCAAAACAACTGAAAACACACAAAAAACTAAAAACAAAGCTAAATTTAAACACCAACTCAAAACAACAATTAGCATTAATTCACTTACGCTTCTCCATATTTCTTCAGAATACTACTGTATATTTTATCATTCTCTTTAATATATACAAGGATCTGGCATTTTTAACCTCATCTTCCAGACCGTTACACAATCTTATTCCCTGGATTAAAGTGGATCGCTCCTTCAGGCTCGTACAAAACCAGGGTTTCACAAACATTTTGACTCCCTTAAGATAATAACAGCTCTCTCTTTTAACAAAATTTATCTGAATGTTGGAAGGTAACACACCTTTATGAGCTCTGTACATTAACAGTAAAATATTATAATCGACCAAATCATAGAATTTTAATAATTTCAATTCATGAAACAATATATTCCATGGATGGCTGTAATTATTTTTAGTGATAATTCTTAGAGCTTTTTTCTGTAAAATTAAAATTGGATTTGTGATAGTTTTGCAAGCTTTACCCCAGACTTCAATACAGTAAATTAAATGTGGAACAATTACAGCGTTATCCAACATAAATAGTGCTTTATCATTGAACAATTCTCTTACTTTGTACAGGACACTGATAGATTTGGCCATTTTTGTTCTTAAACCATTTATATGATTTTTCCATGTCAGTTTTTCATCAATAATGACACCTAGAAACTTCTCTTCACTGACTCTACAGATCTCAACGTCACCAATTTTAAATGAAACCTCTGCAGTTCTCTTACTGTTACTAAAAATCATATAATTTGTTTTGTCCAAGTTTAATGATAATTTATTTAGTTGAAACCAACTTTGTATTTTCACTAATTCTGTCTGTACCATCTCCAACATTTGACTTGAAGGGAATTCGTGATCAATAAATGGAAGTCTGAATAARAAAAACAGATGAATCTCTTCTAAAACTTTATTCTCGTCTCCGACTCCAATCAGCTCTACACAGTCAGGCTTCAGTCAGCCAGAAGGCCAMGGTTCTTTATTTGAACATAAACTAATAAACTCTCAGGAGCAGCATCTGTCCCAGGCTGAATCTAAGGGAGAGACTGCACAGAAACTAACAAAAAACTCCTCTCTCATATTTATGAATCAACCTGTTCTCATATGTCTGTCGTGGTTACACCATCAAGGTGAGACCTTTTATATCAGACATTAAAACGTAAACAATTTACTTAAAAAGACAGAAAAAACACATCAATAAGACACAACAACTCTCATTCTCTGTTTTAAACCTTATYGCTGCAARYATCAGAATGTACGAAARACAAGACTTGCATCTAACATTCAGTCAATAAGTTACAACATTTCCTTCAGACTGCTGCTGAAACTGTTGGTGATGCTATACAAGAACTCTGCAGCCTGGCACAAAGGTGCAACAGAAATAGAGAGACAAATATCTTGGTGGGAAAGTTCACTCAGAGGTGCCTCAAAAGTGGACAAAGCTGGTTTCTATCAGCGTTATCTCTGTTTAACGTCRTCCTGTGGCACACAGCTACTGGAGGCTGGTTTTTGCTCCCAGTGTTTAAGAAGCCAGTAGACAAAACTTCACTTTAGGGCAAATATTGTGAGACGAACTGAGAAGAATCACAACAATAATAAACTGAAAGGGAAACTAAACCAAGTGGCTCATTACAAAACAGATAATAACTGAGATGAGCTACAGAGGAGAGAGAAGGTGAAAACAGAATAGAAGAAGATAAGGAAAAAGAAATCCAACCATTTTGAAGTAGTTTAGCTTTTTACAAATTTAAACAGAACAGATGAAATGTATGAAGCATGAAACGCCTTTTTTTAAATCAGCAGACAGGTAAATACTATAAAATAATCAATTAAATAAATATATATAGCAAAACCATCTTCAGACTACCTCTTTGATGGTCTGAAGCTACATCAGCACCAACAACAGGAGGGAAAAGACAAAGGTATGGGAACTCACCGTTTTTTCATTCTCCTGTGGCATCTCAAAAACACACCTCAGCTTTGAGTCCATCAGTTCCTCTGGCTTTGCCTCCTTCCACTACAAATAAACAAAAATAAAAAAATAATAGAATATGTTTATTAGAACACTTGCGTGAAACTTAAAAACAACAACACGTCAGTGCTAATAATCAGTTTTACTGTTTAGTGTGTTTCAGAGGTTTTCTAAATGTTGAAAAAGAATTTTGTTTTTTGCCAATGATGCGCAGCATTAATTAAATGTTTGGACATATCTAATGAGCCRGAATCTAAACTTTAAACTCACATGTTATGAATTATGATAAATACAATCTGTGTAAATGTTCTAAAAATATACAGAATAGACCGGAGATAATACATAAATATACACTGACCATCATCTTTGGACTGTTAAGATTACTTCCATAAGCTTTTTGTTCTCTRGATTTATTAACTTATGACTAATTTGTGTTTATACTTTGAGCGTCTATACAGTAACAAAGAGGGTAACAGCGTTTTTAAAATTGCTTAGATTACGAAACGTGTTCTAGTCTGTGTTTTGATTCACATGAACTTGCCAATGTGTCCAGTTAAAGTACGATTTCAGTGGATTTAACAATGCCAAAAAGTAAAGTTTAAATAATAATCAGGTATGCATTATCCGTTTAAATAAAGCAATCACAGCATTTGAATTAATCTACAGAATGTGTTTAACTTTAAAAACCTCTCTGCGGAGTCAAATGTACATTTTATAAACTTCCTGCAGCTTAAAATGACGGAAAAAGCTTAATGTTTTGAAAATCCTCTAAACAAAATCTCTTTCCAAATGAGATTACGCCTGTGTTGTAGTTAGGCATTAAATATTTAAAAATGTTTCGGCTTTGCCAAGTTTGGCTGTGATTTCTTTCCTGCCATTATAAATAATAACTGTGATTTACTTAACTTTTATATAAATATTAACAAGAAGATTTATTCTGTTTATCATTTTTGACTACCTGCAGTGTAAAACAATCACAAATTTACTACCAGGAGTACTTCAGAATCTTAATGTTCTGCCTCCTTTACAACAGAACTTAAAAGTTGTATTTTTTATTTTAACTTCTTGAAACAGATGAGTACATCATCTAATATTTGCCTCAGTACAGTGTCTCATTTAAACCCATCTCTCAGGCTGACTTGTGATTTATTATGTGTACATTTATGCGCATCGCAAAGACAYCAATCAGGCTGCACAGACTGTGCTAAACGAGCTCTTTATTGTTGTGTGACAGCACTCTAATGTAGGCTGAATAAAGCAGATGCACTGRGTTGTTCTTTTTGCATTAAAATTCACTACAGGTTGCTCCATCCAAATAACAGCGTCTCCTAGTAAAAAAAAAAAAAGCAGAGTCAGATGAAGAAAAACAAACACTGGAAGATGAAAGGAACTCACCACTCCTTCCATGTCAGTCATGTCAGGAGGCGCTATCATGGACTGGACCATAAACTTGTGCTTGCTCTTCTCGTTAGGATCGTAATCAAACGGCTGAAGCATAACTGAAACATGAGGTGACAACAGTGATCATCCTGATGCGGATTTCATAACAGTTAGTTGTTCTTAAATTACTTTATACATATTTCCCTATATAAAAATCCAAAAGACCAATAATTAGTAACTTAAGTGGCATTTCACTGCTAAATATATTAATTATCATATAGTAAACATAAAGTGAGCAGTAACAGAAAACAGTGAGATCCTAAGTTTAAACTGCACAGCTCTGGGTAATTAGAACTTCACTTRCGTGGAAGGCTGGAAAACATGTTTTGTCAGCATCATCTGCAGAAACTACAGCAGACAAGTGGTGTTTAATTGAGCATTAAATGCACACGCATGTGTCTAATTGTAAGCCAAGGCTTTTTTTTTTAAGTTCAAGGCTCAGAGCTCCGGCGCTGCATGGAAAAAGTAGCAGAGATGATTTATTTTTATGTTCGTGTCGCCATAAGGATGATACAGTGATGAACCCTCAAATACCCTTAGGAGTAATTTTTTTTAAACAGCTTTCAAGTTTTTTCTTTCCGAGCTTTACATACTGCACTAACACAAAGCAGGTGTGGACTCGGAACTATTTCAGCTCATTACGTTGTCAGTCTCCTCAGTCTTCCAGGACGATATTTTGAGCTGGAACAATGATTTACAATGATTATTTAATAGTGTTGTTGAAGGGGGTCTGAAAAGCTGGAAATATATAGTCATATATGGCTGATAATTTTCCTGCCGTGACTACAGGTTTCAGGTCAGGATGAAATAAAAATACTTATTTTGAAGCCAGCCCCTGTAAGTCTACAATGCATGTGTGTTTTTTTTTTTTTTTTTGGCTTATACTGAAAACAAATGGGCTTCATTCAAATCTGGCATAGCCTACAGTATGACTTTCGTATATGGCACATGCCAATACTCCCAAGAGGAGTGTTGTGCACCATTTCAGCAATCAGTGTGGCTCAATATRGCAAATCAGAAACAGACGGCATGAACAGATTGAGAATGTCCTGTTTCAGTCAGTCCCAATTTGCGCAGCCATTCAGCTTGGGTCCACAGGGACAACACCGGAGCACGGAGGAAGGAAAGCATGGAAGTTCTTAGAGCAACACTGAATAGCGTTAAAAGGCTTGAGCCAAAACTTAAAATGGAAAAAACACATTCAACACAAAGGAAGAGGTGATACAATTCATCTTTCATCTTACTGCATTTGAACGTGCTTTTAAAACGAGCTWCTTCTGCTAATGGAATGATTTAGTGTTCTTGCTTCATGTTAGAAGAAGCTCTTTTAATAAACTCAAAGAGGCCACATATATTACACCCAGTTGAACAGAATGGTCAGCATTCTGTCTGATTGGTAATGATGATTGGACATGTGGGAGTCAAATTSCTTCTCCTGTCACTAATTTAATTGTGTTTCGTGAGAAAAAAAGATGCTCTCAAATAAATTACTACTTACTTTGTTAGAAACGTCAGCTCTTGATCTGTGTAAAAAGTGTTTATTGTAAGGCCTGGATAATGTTGCTTCCGAAGGAATTTGCCTTTTTTTTGACTGAAAAAATGTAACTAAGGTAACAAAACGCAATATGCATAGATGCAAACTTCCTTCCCTGTATCCGGAGGGGCTGTAAATAAATGTCTTGTTTTATGCATTCTTTACAGCTTTCACGTTGAACAAAAGAAAAGCAGCAACTTCCACATAGGTTATAATAGGGGTTATAAAATGGTTTTGTGGGTTAAATTTAGTTTTATTTGATTTTATTTCAGATATAGGTCAATTCTAAACTAATACTGTGCATTTTTCCAGCAACTTTGCTCAGTTTTACTCCCAACAAAACTACWTACAGCTCACCTTCAAAGACAAAATCTATGATGCAGGATTGAAATGGAGAAATCAGTCTAGCAAAGCTGCGGAAATATTGACCTGYAGGGAAAACTCACCAGGATGCAAGAGCAAATGCTCATAAAATGTATTCAGATTTCTCAGAGTAGAATATTTTCGCTCTCCTGATTGTGCACTCCCGAGTCTGTCCTACTCAATTAAACTCAAAAAGGAAAAAACACAGACTACACACAGGACCTATTTAAGGACGAGGAGTCTCTGGCACTTCAATCGACCACACATTTGAAGGAATCTGCTACCACTTCAAAGGTCGGGTTTTGTTTTGAGAATCTAACTGGCGGGTAAGAGAGCTGTAACCTCTGATTACTAGAAAAGATCACACGCTCAAATTCATGAGGCTTCTGATCTGAAATATTTACTTACGATGAAGTCAGATCTCAGTTATGACAAGCGAATGAATGRCTTGTCTAGTCAAAACAAAAGAGCCATAGGAAACGAGCTACAAAGTTAAAACAAATCTGCGCATATCCTTTTAATAAGTTCAATATTTCTGACTATGAGGGGTTTTTTTGTTTCTTTTTTTTTTACTCACTGTATGCTGTTAACACCAACTGAGCTCAACAACATTCTTGTGGTCCCGGTTAAATTAAACGTATAAGGTTACAGCACAGCTGAGCTTCAAAAGCTCTGCATGTAGCTTCTGCTAAGCCAGCAAACGACACATTCTGTGTTAGGAGATATCTCGTGGTAGATATTTCTATCCCACTGTGATGCCAGAGGATGTCTGAAGCTTTTGTGCTTCCCTGTTYGAGCATGCAGATCAGAAGACAATGCTGCAGATGAATGATGAAGTCAAACTACCTATTTACTAGAGGAAATAATAGTCTTGTTATTTTAGGAAATACTTGTTCTTTCTGAAAGCCTTTACACAAAAATTCTACTAATTAGTGTTGGCATGACACCTTACATAACAAAACACAACACAAGTATTATTTCTACAGCTTAAATAACGTTCAGCAGACGTTGCTCTTCTGATTAGGAAGAAAGTCGCTTTATTTTTTTATGAAAACAAACTACTGTAATACATGCACTAATAATCAGCAAAAGGTACATGCTTGTGCACTAACAAACTAAAACATTAAAACTGCTTTTAGAATAGTGATAAAACCCCCTCTGTCCATTTCTTGAGTGACCTCCCTTTGAAAACGTGACTACAGCAAAACCATTTGTGCTCATTCAAACAAACAGCTCCACGGTTCAGAACCTCCAGGGTACATTTAGAATAGTTTTCCTAAGCAGTGGRTGATTAAACCGAGGAATCAACTTCCCACTACTGCAACAGTTATATGATAATGCACAAACACAAGTGACCAACTGAACTCATATGGCACTGTTTATAACYCAGGGTGTTTATCTTTTGCTGAAACGTGCAACTAGAAGAGGGAAGAAATTAAGAATAAATGCCCTGTTTTAATATTTTAGAAATCTTGATTCTTATTTAGGATGATATTTAACTGATGATTAAAAAAAGATGATCAGTTGCCATACTATTGCATAACAAATCTAAATGCTATGAAATTCTCCTCAAGATAAAGCTGTAAACCTAACAGGAGATTTATGATTTTTTTTAAGGAGTTCAAACACCCTCATATTTAAAAAAAATGCAAAAAGACACAAGACCACCTTTGCAACTGTAGCATGGGTGTGTAAAATATTAAATAAACCTGAGAACATTGTGGGTGTTCGGTTTAAAAAATAGGTATGTTTCTMGCAATACAGGAACCCACACATCATTGCTATTCTGTCAACTGCAATGCTTTGATAAAGTTATAGAAACTTGAGGACTTGCTGTAAAAAGAAATAGGTTACAGACAAAGCACGACTCTTGATCAATCGATGTGACTGTTCTCAGAAAAGCAATCTCGTTTTGGGTCTGAAAGCCACGACACGCGTCAGCCTAACAAGGGTGAAAAATTACACCAACTTGAATTGGCCCTGGTTGGTTTGTCAACCACTGCTGACAGACATTTGCAGTAGCTGACATCAAATATGGGAGGTTGTAAAATGGTTGTGAACGGCAGGGGTGCCACAGTATGGAGACATAAACGCTGTACCCGTCTCTTTACAACTGCTTGAGTCTTAACGCAGCCTGGTAAGACTCACTGCAGTGTGGGGTGAAACGCTCCTGCAGAATGGGTGAGGTCATGTGTTTAAATGAGCCTGTTTTTTTAATAACTTCATTTACGTTGAAGAGATTGTTTAATAGTTTTATCAAAAGCAGAAACTATATGTTTGAGCTGGTAATAAAATAAAGTAATCWCAGTCATGTTGTTAATTACTTATTTTTTAATTAATTAATTATTTACCTGAGACATTGATTGAGGTGCCTGCATCGATTATACCACTGTTTGGCCGCACGCAGTACCGGCGCGGCGCTGTCGTCTTGACTTTAAAGCATACATTCCTGTCTGTAGGGTTGGAGAGCTTAAGATTTGTGGTGACCACATCTGAAAACGGACCTGTAAGTAAAAAAACAAAACAGAACAAGGTGACATTTAAAATGTTTTTTAAATATTTAGCCACAGTATAGTAATGTTTTTATTTGTTTTCACAACACCAGGGTTCCTACAGCTTAAAACAAGTTCAATTTAAGACTTTTAAGACCTCTTTAATGCCACCTGAATTTTATTTTAAGACCAAATTCACAAAAAAAAAAAACAATACAAAAAGAAAAATCAAAAAGAAAAGTTTAAGATGAGATGAGATGCATCAGGAC